CCCCAAAACCCCAAAACCCCAAAACCCCAATTTACTAAATGTTTATTGAATCTAGAATAAATATTTCTGAAATATGGCGTTTACAATTTTTGCCAAAATGACTTAACCCCAAAACTAAACTTCAAAAAAGTCAAAAATGAATCTGGAGACAAACGAAGTAAACCCCAATGATCAAGATATCAGCAGAGGCAGGATAGAAAAGAAAAGGAACAGGACTAAAGTCATTTTGTCCAATAGTTGTATAACAATATCCATCCTTTCTTATTTTGGAAAAATGAAGGATATAGATAGTTTAATGAGGATTTTTTCAAATAGATCTCGGGCCATCTGGATCTATACCCTAGGTAAATGGTTAAATATTTTTGAAGAGAGCCTCGAAGATATTAAGATCACTCCAGACAATATAAAATTGCTCATTAAGCATCCGCCTTTGAGTAACTGAAGGCTCCATTTTACTGATTATAACATTTCCACGGATAAGTACAAAAATTTGATTATAAGGTTCGTGAATAAAGTTTATAGCAAGAATCAGATCAAAAGCATTAACATTGAGGATAGTGGCCGCAAAGAGTTTAAGAATATAGCAAAGGAAGTTATTATAGAAAAGGTGTTCAAAAATTTGGAGGACATATCTAAGAAACTGGATCATATGCCTTCAGGAAGAAAGTCTCTTACAGAATCTTCAAAAACATATAGCGTTTATTTCAGCGATATATTCAGTGCAAGAAAGGATTATGGGATCATAAATTCCAAGCTCATGATCTTCCCTAAGGTAATTCAAGAGTCTAAGATACTTTATATTGACTCTGACTATATCCTTGATAATGATTCTATTCGTGTTCGAAAGATTGATGAAGATGAATTCCCATTCATTTGCAATCTCAAATTTGAAGACCCAAATATTCCGATTTTTGATCATGTAAAGAGAGTCAAACTTTACGAAAATAGAGATGACAATCGATTAAGCATTACTAAAATTAACACCATTATCAAGAGATGTTATCCGAATTTGAAAGAACTTACACTTGCTGATGATAGATTTAACATTGGAAAATATACATATAAACTTTGAGGTATTATAGAATCAACGAATACCAAGTTTGAGAGAAGGGAGAAAGAGATTACCTTGAAGGCTCCTATCATCTTTAAGGCTAAAAATGCAATAGTAGCAAGGACTAAATACATAGGTGATGAAGAAAAACATGAATGCATATATAAATGAACCATCGAAGTGGTTGTGAATGATTTTATAGAAAAAGAAGGATACATATACATTTTAAAATGCTATCCTCTCTCAATTAGCAACTGCTTAAAAGTAAAAGAACTACCATACCTCATCAATTTATCCTGAAGAACTATCAGAATGCTCAAAAAATTTAAATACGACTCCATTGCCATCCAGTGGGTAATCCTCTGTGCTGATTCGATCACTTCTGTTTCTCCCACTTACCACTCCTGCTTCAATGCGAGATTCTCATCCTTTTCCCTAAAAGGTTTTCTGCCTAGATACCTTACCTCCTATAACTCCTTCCCCTCTTGAACCTCCTTTCACATCACCTGATGCAATCCTGAACCGATCTTCAGTCTTTACCAACTCTACTCCGAAATTTTCTGCGAACTCAACTTTCTTTATCCTTCAGCCAACCGTTACAACATTGATGTCGTTGAGATACCATTCCATCTCCCATTCAAGGGCCTTTTCAGCAAAAATTTTGTAGAGAAGTTTAAGGGATTTAGACTGGTACTCTTGGTGAAACACACTCATATAAGTAGTGAAAAACAGAAGGAAATTGAACAGATCCTTATCAAGTGGACACGGCTGGGCAATTGAACAGGAGTCGTGGTGAGGGGATATGAGGAAACACGATATAAAGACATCTTATTTTGTGTTAATAAGAAAGAAGTAACCAGCCAAGTTAGAAATATTATAAAAACAGGAATGAGAAGTAAGGAGATAGGAATGGGAGTTCCACTAGTAATCGAATAATTTGTATAATTTTATGGATAGACTTTAGTTGTAGTTTAGATTTTCGGAAAAAGTTTAAGGGTTAGACTTTTGATTAGTGAAGTTTTGAATTAAAATAAGAATTTTGAAATAAAATATATTGTTACTATTAGTGAAGAAAACATTAACAATTGATTATTGTTTTAAAGAATTACAGTTTTAATTTTTCAATTTTAAGCAGAATATTTTTAAACAAGATAACATACAGTAGAAGGACCGACTATACACTTTTCGTGTTAAATCTCACGACTCAGGTTTTGAAAGTGGATATCGGACTTCATTAACAGTCACCTCAAACCTGAAAGATGATCAAATCATTTAGATAGTTATTTACGCAAGATTAACTAATTCCATTTAAATCCTGTCTTGGTTTTCAATAAAAATGGAATGAAAACTTAGGGAGATCTTCTTTCATAATTTTTTGTTTGTTGTGACAACTGTTGAAGTTACTCTCAATTCAATGATTCAACAATACATCAAAATTTAGGGGTTTTGGGGTTTTGGGGTTTTGGGG